AAATTGAATCCGATATTACAAGTACATGACATTTGAATATGAACTGACAAAACGGAAGCTGAATGTAATTTGTATGAAATTTAAAATTTAATATAAATGACACAGGTAATATAACAGGTAAATTCAAGTATCTGAGATGCAACATACAAACATAGGCATATAAATAAACATCAATCTGTAAGGAAATATCAAACAGTGGATTAACTGAAATACAGTTTTGAAAAATATCAGGTCAGATTTACAGCTGAGGCTACATAATAATGCCGAATAAAATTGCTGGAACGTGTGTAGCGAATTTCATCTAATCGCTACGTTTTTATATGCCAGTAAGACGTAACATTGGCCAAACAAGGAATAGATGGAAGGAACACATTTAGTAGTTTTCTATTCGTGTCATGGAAAAAGAATATATCATAAGGTAAATATGTAAATTCTGCTCTCATTTGATTTCTGTTATTCTGTGTGCATTTCCGACATTGGATGCCACGCACATGATAGGTTCGAGAAGAGTTTTCTTCTTGTTAAATGTTTGTTACTGGAAAAAAGACAAAGTGATAGAAACATGTAGCAAATATAATGACCTTTACAAATATTCTTCGGTGCAGAAAACGATGATAAACACATGGGGACAATGGAATACGAAAGAAAAGATTAGGACTTTGTTGTGAACGTCTTAGATATAAAGTTACACAAACAAACTTATACATGAGATACGCTGATAAAAGCCTAATTAGGTATATATGATATTCTGTTATTCTCTGCAATAATTATATAGCCCGTGACAGCCGAGTCACGTGCGTGGGTACAATTTGTGTTGAATATCCTGTACGTGCGTGTACTGCCGGTTATTTTCCACTTGGGTGGTTTTCTTACGTGTCATGTCACTTTGAACTGTGGACAGACTGGATGTCTGCCAAGCAGACACTCAGCTCTCCGCCTTGCAAGAAAGTCACAGGAGTTACGTAAGTTGGATCCATGTATGTCTGTTAGCATTTTATACCCAATTTTAAAGTGCTGTTATAAAATATGGCATGATTAAGTTACTTTTATAGAGTACTAAATGTTATATTTAATTTAATTTAACACAACGACAGTTAGCACCTGAAAGTTTCTACGAAGTAAATCCGAAAGTAGTGTAAGACATTAACCCGGAACTTAATTTTCATGTTATATAAATGTAGAGATTATTTGTTGCTCATTCTAGTATACTGTGTACGTTCCTGACCACCGAAATAGAAATATTCTGTGTACTTTAATAATTCATATATATTTTATATCCCCAGAAATTAATTTTATTTTAATAGAAGCCATTGCATCTTATTATATTCTAACCAGCACCTTGAAAATTTAGTAGTCGCTCAGAGCGACTAGAAATGCCTCTCATTTATAAAAACAATACTCGAATATGGTCGCAATTGGTCCTTGACCTGGCCAGATTAATCCATTTAACGCCCTCACAACCTACTTTTCTAAGATCCCTTTTAATATTGTCCTTTCATCTACACTATATGGCCACTTTATTTCACGATTTACATAAATTTTTATTAATTTCTGTAAGATATGCTTAATTTTAAGTTATACTGAGTTTAAATTATGCATGGTTTTATTTTTATTCTTATATGAAGCAAAATTATTCCAGATATATTCTTCAAATAACTGCAACTATGAGAGCAATTCGTGTAAAAGACATTCTCTTATTTCTTAAGGCAACATAAATTGAGTCAAACCTAATGTGTATCCATGCAATATATAACTCTAAATTGTATCCAGGCAGACAGGCGCACGAACAAAACGATTTGCTCGAAGATGTATTATAGTAACTCGTCTATTTGTACGCTGAGCTGGGTAGTGTTTATTTATCTAAGCTATAAGATAAGGATTCATGTGCAGTCTTAATCGCTGTGTTTTACACTGTAACGTAGGTGTTTAAGAAGGTAAACCAGTTGCCTTATAAGCTTTTGTGGTTATCTGCAGCCATTTCGCGGTGTTCTTTGTGGTTCTAACGGTCGTAATAATAGTAATTTACATTTCCACTCCTCTGTCGTCTCTCCTTCCTGTCCCTACCACATAAATGACAAAAGTCTGCTCATAAAATACAGTACTACACCATGCTTTAGTGAGCTCGGCGACGTAGTGTGAAATTTCTCCGAGAGAATGCGCGGCACGCGCCATATGTATTTGGCCACTGCTCGACTGTTTATCTAGTTCAAGTAGTACCGCTAGATAGGGACACACGCGCAATGTAAAGGAGTCTTTTAAACAGGAGGAAGGATGGAATGTTTGTTCATTGACCTCCTACAGAATATACGTATTTTTATTTTCTGTGTTCAGCGTATGGAATGGATGAAGGGAGCGAGAGCTGCTATCAATATTGGATGACATGTTTACCGCCAAAATTATCTTTTGGCTTCCCTTCACTACAAATTCCTCATTATCATATTCGTATTATCGTGGTTTGCATTGTCTGTTGTATTGTATAAGTAGCATTATTATTATTAAGAATTCAGTTCATTTACCTTTTCCGCAAAAAATGTTTCAGTCTGAAAACTGATCTTAAAATCCGCCGACTCCACTTCTGTAGAAATAATTTTATGTGCATATTCACAATATTTGTTATTACATTAATGAATCCAATTCTTAGAACTCTAGATTGAGTAGGCGTATTAAATATGCATTTGCAGGTAGAATCCCATAACTTAAGCTACAGTAAGGCATCTGTACTCCTCGTTTTATATTATTAAAGAAACTCTCTACATAAACATAAATTCGTGTATAATAGAGAACCGAATCTCAAAATAAATCAGAGTTGGCCTGAATTTTAATACATGAATATTTATAAGTTTAAAGTCTTAGAGAGGAAGTGGGAGTTAGCGTTACCAACAGAAGTCAATATGCCAAATTCCAACTCTGCGTGGTGTGTAGCCTATGTGTAGGTATAAAGGAAACGTCTGTGTTGTAGGGAGAGAAGCCAATTAAAATGGATGAGGTTTCATGCATTTGCATAAAAGCAGGACCTGGTTGAGCCGAGAATAAGACCACAAGACTGAAAACGCAGCCTGGTAGACAGACCACGGCTTTATTTCTGACTATTTTGCTCATATTCTCACTGCATTTTGCTATAAAACTCCACTGTCGAAGAAAGATACCGTGGTTACAAAATATTATTTAAGTTTAATAATACCAGTACATTTGCATACAATTTGTATTTTAGGCTATATTCAGTCCTTAACAATGCAACATTTTTTGATCGAGATATGATCGAGTAATGATGATGTGAAATTAACTTTTCCGCCTACACGCATAATTGCAGGTATTATGACCTGTAGCAGAACCTCTTGAGAAACAGACATATTGAAATTGACAATCTCTAGATTACTGCTTACTCTGATCGCCATAGACCGCATCTGCCTCTTTTTTGTTGTCAGTTCTAGATATTTTCCTGTTATTCATTACATAGGCTTAAGTCTATTTCAAAAACGGTCTATATGTACTGTAACTCTTTTATGCAAGCAGAAAAATCACTGTGTTAATTTTGAAATTGGTTACATCCGACCATACAGAACGTGAGAGAAGGAGACGATATAAATTAAATTATCTGAAGTTAATCCCATTTTATTTACGCTCATTATTCAAATAAGGGATATTATGGTCGACAAAATTATAATGAAACTAGTTTGATACTGGCACCCCCAGCCCTGTTATTCTTACACGTTTCTTGGCCGACCTTGCGTAATTCCATTTACTGGAAGATTTTCCGTAGAAAATATTGATTTGTTTCGTGAAAAGATACCAACAATATTTGTCTGATTTGAGTGCTCCATTAACCTTCAGTTTCATTTATTACAGATAAACTGCTCAATTACTAGAGTCAATAGACTGTAGGTTGGACTACCGGTGTTCGTTTCCCGACAGGGTGGGTTTACCTTTTCCGCGCCGTTCAGACCGGCTCTGGGCCCCACGGTACCAGCTTCTTTCCTCGGGGTAATGTGGTAAAATATAAAGCTAACCACTCAGGTTAAGAACACGTAGATTTATAGGACTACCTCCACTCCACCATACGTCTAAATCGCGTGGTGCTTAGATAAGCAAGAGGGACAACGTTATCTATTACAGTTTTAGAAATTTATTGTTTCATGATGTCCACATGATAGATATTGTGATTGTTTGCTGTTTAGGAGGATTAAAATGAAAGCTGTATGTATTAATATGACAGGCCTACATAAAAGTAAGAAACGCACAAATTCTTTGAAAGGCAAACAGTTTTTGAGTAAACTGACATTTATATTTGGGCCGACAAAGTTGATCGTGAGCTTAAAAATACGCTGCGTTCCATTAAGAGGTGTGGAGGAATGGAAGTATACACTACATGCATTCCTTATCCTTGCTTATTTTTTTGGTATTTCCAAAGTGTTGATAATAGTTGAGCTTCGCGCGTGTCGTTTATAATCCAGCCTCTTAGTTCGGTTTCTTTAAAATGCTAGTAAAATGTTTTCACTTCTTTATTCTTAGCTAATTTTCTTAGCTGACTTAACGACGTTGTTTCTACTGAAGAGGCTACATAACAGTGGAAAATACGACGACAAGATTTATGAATAGAAAGAGGGGCGCGTATCGCGTTTGAAATAACTCTTCTGACATTTACTTGGGGACGAATCCACGAAAATCGTACCAGAATATCCGAACGTGATTCGAGGCTGGTACCTTCCGAATACAGAAGCAGAACTTTGCCTCAGAACCAGTCTTCTTTATATAGTGTTTGCCAGGTAATCGAGTGTGAGAAATAATAAAGTATGAATGAGATTTGTTCAGTTCCATATGAATGGTTCGTGAAAGAGTTATTAAAATAGTAAGCACAAGAATAAGTAATTCTCTCTACACAGGTTACATTGTGACGTTTCCCTCGCGTACTAGTCCTTGGTTTCGTTGTTCCAAACGTCTGAGAAACGCTGGAGTATCTGAATTGTGACAGTCTAAATACCATGTGCCGTCTTTTGTTTCAGGTAGGTGACCGCTAGCTTCTTGGTCTGCAATGGGACCGCCCAATGCGGCACTGGAATGTTGAGTGAAAATGTCGCCCACGTCACAGCTAATATCCGATAGAACGGTAGGATATTTACTGAATGATTTGCGTTGCTAATTTATCATGAAATACTTTCTCACGATATTTAATTTTAATAATTTTATTTGTTCCAAGTAGATCCTAAATAGGACATTATCAACACTTCTTTAATAGTTTGTTCAACAGATAACGGTCTGTTCATTTGACGTAACTGGCCGTGTTTAGACAGCGCGTGGTTCCTTGTTCTATAAATTTTCACAAGAACACAAGCCATTACTTGAAGCCTGAATACGTACCTTGCTTTAAATTGGATTTGATAGATTTTTATAGAATATTTAGTGTTTCAAATACTCGCGTTAAGAATTAAACGTCAGAAGTACTGAAACCGGGTTACGAGTTGTGATTTAGAGGACACCGACATTTCTCAAATACTCGCGTTAAGAATTAAACGTCACAAGTACTGAAACTGGGTTACAAATTGTAATTTAGAGGACACCGACATTTCTTAGTTAATGAGTCCAGGAATTTCTTGACGGTTTGAACACAAATGCATGTATTATATGAAATGAACGGAATAGAAAGGGGGTTGGAAGGTGGGGAGAGAATTAGAGAATTGGATGAGTAGAAGGGGCATGCGATAAGCAAATAGGCCCTACCTATCCGTGTAGAAGGCATTTTCTGAACTGCATGTGGTATGGTCAATGTGTGCAGTTAAATGTTCGGCCAGGGTTTGTAAGAAATACACACGAATATTCCTTGTACTAGAAATTAAAAGGAACTGTTAATACTGTTTTGAAAATCGATATTAATATTACATGACCTATCACCATTATTTTTCTTGTTCTGGTGGGATGTCTTGTCTTATATTCACTGGCCCGTGAAATTTTAAATGGCTTGAGAGAAATTTACGATAAAATATTATCATACAGTCGACTGTCATTGGCCTGTGCCGCCTTCTCTTAAGAAATAATGCTCTATAAATAGAATTCATGATAATTTTAGTAGCATAGCTCTGTGATATCATCAGTTACTCTCGCGTATATGCAGGTTCTAAGTGATGATAGGGTTGATGATGCACGGAACAGCTTTTATGAATGAACAGCTTACATTCGGTATTTTCCGCATACTACGGGAATATATTTTTAGCATATTTAATTGCTAAAGTAAGGAGGGAAATTGTTTTAAACCGACAATCATAAACGAGAGTTAATACGAAATAAATTGCAATGCTAATTCGGACTTCTTCTGATGGTAATACTCAAAATTTAATATTTATGTTCTAGCAGATAAAATAAGCAAAAAGAAACAAAAAGCGAAACGAAAATATTCGTTATTTCAAATAGCAACTTCCTTAAAACGTATACTTTGGCATGACTGATAATTATTATTTAAAATACAGACTGTAACATGGAATAACGGTTTTGGTTATTAGCCGATGCAACTTAAAGGGTAATTCTGGTGTATAATGGCGAAACTAATGTTTATAGTTAGAGCGTTTTCAATTACGTCTGTAGGTGTTTGAACTGTTTGTCTGAAATTAATACGCAATTTGTTTGTTTATAAGACTAGCTTAATATTAAATTTATTCTTTGCTTCATGAAATGCTTGTACATAGTTGAAGGGAGGTACCAAATATTGAATAAAATTTATATTTTGTGAAAAATAGGCAGTTCTTTGAAAAAGTCTTAATTTTAATTATTTTTTTTTGCTATTAAATGTGTACAATCTAAGTAGCAACATGATAGAAACATTTGAAACATGAAAGAAGCTTAGATTTTTAAAATATTTATTGGAGCTGGTCAACATGGTACCTAATATGGACTGTTACAACGAATACAACTTTGAATTTTTCTGTTAAAGTTAACAGGATACTGGAACTGAACGAAGTCATACAAGACGAAAATTATTTAAAATGAGCAGTGTTTTGGCTTACACAATTAACCCATAAATTATTTCTTATTTTTTCCGTTATATTAAGACTTTTATAAAGATTGTTTTCTAAGTAGAAATTTTATATGTTAAAAATGTTATGTCTTCTTTCTCACGTTACAGTGAAAAATGTAACAGCCTTTATCAAATTGGTTTGTTAAGCATAAAATATAAGCAGCAGCAAGAATGAATCAATAAATTGTATTGACTGTACACAAATCTTCTTCCTGATAGAATGAGTAGCTAGCTACTACTTACTTGTAGCAATTACACGAATCCTAATGTGTTTATGCTTCGAAGTATGTGGATAGCAAGGCTTAACAAGAAGATTACTTAATACGATTTCAATCCCGAAAGATATTTATGTCCGTGTATACACTCTAACAGGGAGCTGATGGAGACAAATCCACTCTTCAGAGCTCTCTTACACATTCTATCTCTGTTGTGAGGCTGAAGATAAAACTGAGATAACAGACGAGATAACTTTGCGGTGTGTTCACTGTCGACACTGTTCTCCCTCTACAGTAATATTTATTGCACTCTGTGTCTATAGATTGGGTCCATTGCATAAGCTTATCGGAACACAAGACCACTAATTACTTTTACACGGAACAAGGTACAACACGCATTCTTTATAGAATATCCTATTGGAATTCCTTATTTTACGTTTCAAATCCACGTTTGGTTGTTATCTCTCGTGTAATTTTATACATAAAAATGACTATTCCTAGGCAAATCCTTATATGTTTATATTTATTTGCAACAGCATAACCTATTTACTTATTCCTTGGTTAGCATTCCTATTTTATATTCCAGAGGTCCGTGGTTTAAACCTCGTCCCGGACGCAGATTGCGCTGATAGATTTTGTGGTTTTCGTCAGTAGATTTATATATGGATGTTTTATACGTCTGACCGCATGGTCTTTAATACAATTTATTATTTTCCTGGTGATTCCATCTTTCTTATAAAGAATTTGTAAACCTCTGTCTTGAATATTATAATGCATATTTCAATCTCGTATTCATGGACATATGTTCGTAGTTACACGAATCATGAAATTAATTACTTTTAGCATTTTATACCAAGAAATGCGCCCCGTTTATCTCACAAACGACTTTGCAGGTCGTGATTGTTCAGTTTTTGGACCTTGTGAATTGTCTGATATTATAATACACAAAACGTTTGAAGAACTGGATGTGTTCTTGTCTTCAAGTGTAGTAGTAAAGGGGACGCCCACAAAACGTTTGAAGAACTGGATGTGTCCTTGTCTTAAAGTGTAGTAGTAAAGGGGACGCTTATTCTGTGGGGTACTTTAGAATGAGCTAATCCCAACTACTGTACAGGTCAAAAATCTCAGCAATACAGATTGTATTACTCCGTCGTCAGAACCCTTTAGAATCTGCTTTGCATATATTTATCATAGTTTATGTAGTTCAGTCTAACCAATTTCGAAATATAATATAAACTGAAGTATTGTAGCTCAGAATTTATATCTTGTCTCGAAATAATGAACGCTAAAATTAGTCCCGTATCTATATATTAGTTCCGCCTGTAAGGAAGAGATTTTTCTTGGAACTGTTTATGTGATCTGCTGTCACACTCTCAAAGTAACTCCGTTCAAGTCAGAGTGTGAAACTGCCCACTGCCCACCGGAAAGCTTTGAGATATGGGAATGACGCCCGTCCTTCTTTATAACCACAGCAAGCATGGTTCGTTAGATACTTTTAGTCGGAAAACCTAAAGAGAAGAGACAATTTCTATGATATCGGCCTAGGCAGAGGTTAATTTTAAAACGTATCTTAAAGAATTAGGATATGAGGTTGTGGACTCGATTCATCCTTCTCAGGTGCGGGTCTATTATTTTGATGCTATTAACGTGCTAATTAACCTTCGTATTTTATAATAACGGTGGCTATCATAGAACTCTTAAGTGCCTATTAGATTTTCTCGAAGGACTCTGCTTCGTGGAGTGAACAGTAAGAAGAAACTTAATACGTTTTATGGTAATAGATAAGATAAATTTGTCCTTTAATTGATTGTGTGTAGAAATTGATGTGAACCGGTTTACGAAAGGCTTAATTCTGGGCGGTTGGACGTTGTGCATTCTTATGGAATTTTCTTACCACATGTTCCGTAAAGAACTTTTATTAATTTTAGCATCCAACGACGTTTGATAATTATCAAAAGGTAAAAGTCGTCTGGTATTTTATTTTATTTGCTTTTGTGATGGACGCTCAGTTTTATTGAAATACTAATTCCGCCTACACAACAAATTTAATTATATGCCTATACCAATTATGAATTAAACATGGTCACATGTTTTGTACTCTTATACTACCATCATCAGGCGTCATAAATCATAATAAAAAGTTAAGCTTGAAACTGTACGACAATGTTTTAAATTTGGTGTTTATTAAATGTCGAAATACGAAATTTTTAAAATAATAACACAATAGAATTGTTAAGTTACTTATCATGATTGTATTCCACCTGATGATTGTAGTATAAGAGACCGAAATATGCGACTGTAGTTGATTTATAATTAATAAAAGTAATTTTTTGTTTAGGTGAAAATATTATTTTAATTTTTGATGTTGTACAACAGAACGCCTCACTTCAATATACACTCACTTTGTCTGGGAAAAACCACGAGATTGTTAGCAGGATAAGTCTCCCAATTAAGATAAACGCCATTACAGTTCGAGTTGCGTTACTGTGTTGGTGGTATCGGCTTCCTGTCCCATTAGTGGCATTGTTGGTAACATTAACAGCTTTATAACACTGGCTCCTTGTACACCATTAAGACTTCAGCTCCTAGCAGGAGATTTCTCTGAGGTAATAAAGAAAGTACGAGTGGAAATCATGGAAGAAGTAGCGGATTGAAACTTAGACGCCATAATCCTTTCAGTTGTAGTCGTCTGCCATCCATCTCTTCAGTAAATGACCCAGGACTAATTTCCGCTCGACTTCCAGAGACTATCGTTTTCTAATCGTGTACGATTCGCGTAATGGAAGTGATGACGTATGAAGTTTATGGAGCGTTACGACGGAAACGTTGCAAAGGTCTCCCCTCCCTTCGCCAATTCCTTCCAACGTCAGTGCCTCAACGAAAGTAAGAGAAACGTTGTTGGATGAAGATTTACAATTGTTATCTGATTGTTGAATTGTTTTTCTTTAAGCTATTTGAAGTTTCTTGAGTCCTTAATACATCACTTTGTCGGGGGAGGGTGGAGAACACGAATTTGGTGCCCAAAATTGCATTTCATATCATGCTAGTTTCTTTTTTCCTGTGGGGAGTTGTTAGCCCCCGTTCACTCCCAAAGCTGGAGGACCACCCCTTTTCGGCTGCTCATTAATGCTTATTCAATATATTTGCAGCTACTCCGCGTCTCCGGTGTCAAGGGAGCTTTTCAAGACGGGTGGTTCTCCATGGAGATAGTTGGTTCATGGTTATAAATACTAACAGATTGTATCGGGTTTATGACTACTAAAACTAGAGAATTAGAAGAACTATACGCCATAATTAAAGTACTTGTTTCCTTTCGTCATTTAATTTGGCAAACATGCCTTTGTTTAACGCCATAACGGACTGAGAACAGATCGACACACTTTCACGCGTTTTACCCACAGTAAGTAACGCACAGTGAAAAGATGTCTGTTCAGGTTTTATGTATATTTAACGTCATACTTTATCATGTACTTGAAATAATACTAGTCGTTTCTCTCTATCCAACCCCCTAACCCTCTTATTTTCGCTACAAGTGAGGTTTAGGGTCTCGATTCCCTATGGAATAACGAAACAACTATTGGTGGAAGACAAAAGAGTGCGCTGTAAGGCAGATAGCCCCACAGCGTGTAGCTCCTGAGAGAGCCGAACAGAGACCGATATATTTTTATATAGCCGATCTAGGAAGCAAGGGGAAGTTGCCAAGAAAATCCCCATTTCCTGCTGGAAAGGGCATTTCTGTTATCTCAAGGGAAAACTTTAGGATTAGGTTGTAGGAGAAGATCGCTTGCTTTAATGTGTGAATTGTTTCTTTATTTTCGGTGTTTACCCCCTTTGTTTATCGTTGCCTGTTCAAACACTTGTCTTTATTTCAGAAGAGATGGTTAATGCCGATAGTCGATTGGTAGAATTAAATATTCTACTTACAGTTCAAAGTTTATAGATGTTTCTGTGTAGCACTTCAAATGTTTGCAGATATTTCCAGCACTGAACACTTGAAAACATTCACTGTTATTTGCATATAGAGCGTTACAGTCTCAACACCCAAAACAATTTTTAATCGTGTAAAGTATTATCTTTCAACAAATAGAGAAAGGCGAATGGAAGCAGAATAATACAAAGCTGATAGTAAAAGTAAATTGTCAGACAAAGTGCAAGATATAAATTTAAAAAACCAAATCAATATTTTGTTTTTCGATAAAAGACAACGCTTCAGATAATGTAAGAATCTCATTAGACTGCATTATTCTAAATTAATTTAATGATCTGTATACAGGACAACTTTTGCTGCAATTTAATATAGCCTATGTCATTTTGCCGTACATTAAACGATTGAAATTCTTTCGACAACCGAATTGGAAAACAAAGTAATCGTGACTCATTAGGTATTAAGTACATACAACAAAATTGTAGCGCTAATCTGCCTTACGTTAAAGACAGGATATGTATTCATAAATTTACATCTTTTACAATGCAACATTTTGTGCTTTAAACCTGAGTTTGCGCAATGCTGCAACTTCTATAGATATTCCACTAAGTTTGTAGTAAACACATTCTCTGTTTAAATTATTACTTCATAATGCAGAACTCTAATGACTAATTCTTTAACACAGGCACATCAGGAAAATACTTACTAGGTATACTATAACTGCAGATTCTCTGCGGTAATCATTATTGTTACTAATAATAAAGAATTGAATTGATGTATTAAATAAATGAATTGAATCATTATTATTATATAAAGAATTGAATTAGTTTTTAAAACCAGCTGTACACAACTTTCGATGTACTTACATAAGAAGCAGTTGAAAATGTAGCATCTTCTGGTATCTGAAGCAGTAGTTTTTGAAGTAGTTGAGCTGTCACCGCCACTGTCTGTCCTCTGGTAATGAAGCTGTGAGATCGTTCTGTCGCGTCCCTGCTACCGTCAAGTCGGGGGAAGGTTAGGGAACGTCCGACCCCTCAATAACCTACCTACCCTTAAGAGAAAGTTGACAAGAGAAGACCTGCGTTTTTCGATAGCTTGGCTGTCTGCCCTTCTTATCCATTAACCATAGCATAAAAGGTTTTGTTACTTTATTACAGTGCCATAAAATTTGGGGGGTAACAGAAGGAATATATCGTAATAAGCATACAATAAGTTCCTTTCAGTTTGTTAGTAGATACTAGGTCGAATGGATGGATGGATCAATTAACTTAAAAATTAGGTGTTTGCGTAACTATAGTAACAACTAATAATTAAAATGTCTTATTTGAACAGTTACAGGAGCCAATTACAGTGTCAGGACAAAAGGGAATCTAAAAACAAACACAAAACAACTCAACAGACACATAAATTAATTATAGTGAAACATTCTGGTAAACAGTAATTGTATAACAACGAATTATTATTAATAATAATACCACAGTAACTGTTAAATTAAAAGTACTGGTGTTTATGCTACACAGTGTAAAGAGGGTAATAATTGCTTTGGATAATGCAGAATCTATATAATATTATGGGGCATGTGGCAGAAATATCTGGTCATCCTGAACGCATTGGATCATTTGAAAGGTCTAAAAATAGATGAAAGTATAATATTAAAATGTTTTGATGGAAACGGAGTGGGGAGATGTAAACTTAAGTATTTAATAGGTGGCGGTGTTTTGTGGAAAAGTTAATGAATTTTGTTTCATAAAAGATGGGATATTTTTTAGATCTTTGAACGAATATTTTGCGTCTCTAGGAATATTGATTTCCTTTCGTTGAATGAACGAATCTCAGTTATTAAAGTGATTGCAGAGGCCCACCCAGCCATCCAGTTAGCCGCCAAGGCAGAGGGCGCCCAAGGCTGTTTCCCCGAGACTCAAGCGGGTGGATCATGCATTGCTCAGCCTTCAAGTTGAGTGAAGCGTGAAGACTGAGGCCCAGCCAGAGCAGAAGTGAAAGTTTTATGGAACAGATGGCAGTTTTAAAACGTAACTTTGAACTCTGAAGCTGTTACATCACGGAATGTCAGTGGGAATGGAATTGTAAAGAGTTTGGATGGGCAGAATCATACCTGCAGCGTCAACTTTATGATTCCCTAAATTTTCTGCAGCAGTTATCCTTTTTTATTGTTAACTAGAGTTTGGGTTTTGTTTTACAATAATGACAACTCAGAAGAATAATGTTTGTAATACATTTTGCTCATATTTCGTTGGATAATTTTTTATTCCCTTTGGATTTATTTTACTGTCACCGTACATTACGCCCCATGAAACGTCTGTTGCTTTGACATTGGTATGAAAACTAAGCATAATACAATGAAACAGTGCGTATTGCACCTCAGATATTCAGAGAAACTTCGGGCGCTTACGTTTTGTGTAACAATCCGCGATTCCCTGAACAATTTGTTTATTTGAAGCCGTCTGAGGTGGAGAAAAAATACTGCCAGTTTCTGGTATTATGTTATTTAAAATAATTTGGGTTTGGTTAGCAATTGTCAGAGAAGTTAAAACAGTCTCCACTTGCAACCAATTTATTTTTTCTCTTTACTTCAGTCTTCTCTTTTTCCTTATTTCTATTTTTCTGATGCCTGTGTAGGAGTTTGGCGAATCTTTCCTGGGTGAGGGGGGGCATGGCGTGAAATTTGCAGTTTGGCTCTCTCTAGTTCTTCTTCTTCTTCTTCTTCTTCTTATAGCGTTATAACCCTGTGTGGGTCTTAGCTTGTTCGACGAGTTTTTTCCATTCTGTCCTATCATTCACAATTCTTCTCCATCCCCTTACTCCCATCGTCCTCACATCCTCCTCCACGTCGTCTATCCATCGTTTCCGTGGTCTCTTCTAGTTACCCTGTTTCCTTCCATTCTTGCAACATGGCCAAGCCAGGCTAACCATTTGCTTTTGATCAGCCTCTCTAGTACCGACTTCAAAGTGCATGCTTCTTTTCCCTTCATGACGTTGATCTAAGCACTGGACTAATACTTTTAGTTTTTATTGCTTCCTACATAGAATTACTGTTCGGTTTAATTCATTTCGTGGTAGAAACGTACATCTGCGTGAGGCAGGTGTTATTAATTTATGTGCACATGCATGTTTTCTGGTATGTAGTGTGGAAAACGAGGCAATTGGTCTTTTCTTTATGTATGATATCAGGCTTCATGTCTGGCCCGGCACATTGCTAGTGTCGTGGCAAAATAACAGCTAGCTTTAGCTACGTCATTTAAATAGTGTATGGGACCATGGAAAGGGCAAGGGGACCAGGGCGGCAAAGATTGTGTCTGAACATGCATTATGAAAGTGAAAATCTTCGTCCCCCTTTTAATTTCGGCACATTAGTTGCAATTTTCATACGACTTTCACAGTAAACTGTATTTTATGAACCAAAGAAGTAAAAGAAGAGGAATGCAGTCACACGTCTAAACCTCCACACGCACTCCTTCTAGAACCTAAATGTAATAAGGACTGTGTTATTTCTTCTTATGTGCTATCGCTTCGGGCCTACGTAAAACTCTGCCAAGCTTGGGGTTATGGTGTGACCACTGTAGTCCACGTTTTATTGTAAAGTAACATTGCAGTTATTTTCTGTTTACTGAGTTAAAAACTGTAAATGAAATTTTGGAATGACGACTCCCAAAGTAATTTTTGAACTATTTCTGCCCACCTTTAGCATTGTTGCAGCGTTAAGCTTTAGATTAATGGTTATCAGTAACTGGAAGGAGAAGACTGAGGCGTAATGATAGATAATTCCCAGATTGACGCGCAAGAAAAAGTAATAATTTTGGTTACTGTAGACACGAAATAAAATCAGACTATTCCCGCTCATACTAATATACTCCGTATGTCATCTGTTGTTCACTTGTTTTAAGATTGCTAGGAATACATCCAGGCCAACGCCTCTCCAAAATTTTTATTCGTAGTTTTGCGAATTTTGAAATTTGACCCTTTTATTACAATTTGCTACCATTTCATTGAATATCAGACACACTTAACAACAGGCAGAATTTCTATGATGGATACCAACGAACCAAAACAATTGTATGAGTTATAAATATACAACGTTACATATTGTTTACAGCTACGAGCCAAATACAAATTTTGCTTTAGGTGCTTTCTCTTTCAGTCAAAGAACGAAATTTTATGTCACGTTTCATTCTAAGCTATGAAAGAAAGAGCATATAAGATTTACCTACATAAACTGCAGGATTTATGTAGGTAGGACTGTAATAAAAATCTATAAGTTTTATGGATGTATTGTGTTATTTATTATGTTAGTCACACCTATATCTCATAGTAATTCATCCCATAATGGGCGGGTCATTGATTTATAAACGTTGATTTCCTCTATACTTTCTCTAAAACGTTCCTTCACTATGTAATCGACCTTAATTTATTAGTAGTGTATGAAAAACGTATAGACTACTTTAACCAATGTTAAGTTTTATAATTGACCCGACTAATAATGATTTAACATGGAAGTTAATTCATAACTTCGTTCTTGCTTGGCATTGCCACACAGTAGTCGTCCACTGCTTTTACTCATCGTCATTATTTATTGTTCGGTTGCTCACTCTATCATCCTGAGCTGTCTTTGCCTCTCTTTATTGCCATGATTTGCGTTGCATAATGTAAGACTAGACATGGAGTTGTAGCTAATAGCAGTCGCCTAGTAGAAAAACGACACACGGCATTGATTTCTAGTTTCTGTTTAGACGTTTCTGCATTTTCAAATAATTAACTTGCTGTTTTGGGAATACGATAATTTGTCTGAAACCTGAAAATGAGCAACTCCTTGAAAAATAGGGATGTATTATTAAAAAGACCCTCAAGAAAATAGTATGTAAGACTGCGGACTCTACTCAATATAAAAAATTTGCTTTTGAAATTATTGTGACTAGTTTAATATCTGACGTGACCATGGTTAATTGTTTGGGATTTATTTACTTGTTCATTGTCCAATATTCCGAACAGAACACAACGTTTAAGAATCTGGATCTGTCTGAATCTTCAGATAAAAAGGTCGGGAGTATCGACCCAGTTGAGCCCATTAGAATCAGTTACTCGAAAGAGATACGCATTTATCGTTGCAGACGTGAGACACAATTGCAAACCCACACCACCAATTAAGACCCGGTTATTACATATACTGTCCCTTGTGTAATGCTGTTATGTCACATAGAAAGTGACAGATAAGTACTTTAGGTAGATAATTTATTTCTACAGTCTTCTTGAGAAACTACAAACAATAATTTCTAACAATTATAATTCCAGTAGAGAATTCTAAAAAAGTTTATTCTCATGTGGAATTGACACTTATTAAGTCTGTTGGTTGCGGTTTACAATGTGAACATGGTCCGCTTCTAAATAATTTTACATTTGTTTTACCATTTTAAATTCTCTGCTTTATTTTTAAAATGCTGTCTCATATTTTCTACCCCCACCCCCCGGTTCATGAGTTATTCCTTCTCATAATTTATCCGAAAAGTGATATAGAAGAAGTAGATTTTAATTTAGATTCTGTGCGGTTAATTATAGCAACGGTACTGGTCTGGATGTAATGCTGTGTGAACATGTAGTTAGACACTACTGTTTCGGAGGAACAAACTTTCTCCTTCTTCAGGCCTGAAAATTTCTCTATTATGTTACTCCGAAACACTTGTATCTACCTACAAGTCCACGCGGTGTTGCATTCTACGAGACTAACATGTGAAAACCTCAGATCTCTATTATGCTACCTTGTAGCATTGTTATCAGATAAATGTAAGCGTTATTTAAGTTGTAATTCACCCTCCTGCAGATAGGTGGATCTGATGTGATCCATGTTGGAATTAAGCATTATATAACAGTAAATGACATCCGTGCGTGTATGTTACCACAAAACAACCGGAACGGCTTCAGTGAATAGATGGTACATCGATGAGGTGGAAAACAGGTTTCTTCGGTCTCCGTAACATAAATAAAAGATAAACCGGCAGAAATATTCTGCCCACACATCCATCGATCTTTTGAGCTGGTTCGTGATTGAGACCTGCAGCAAGAGGCCACAATTTATTAAGTGTTACGCGTGGAAACAGAAACCCGTCGTCTTCCAGCGCCACTACAGCCGTCCGCCCGTTCCATTGAATTATGTCCGATTGTAATATGGAACTGGGTACAAATTATGTAGCGTATAGTATTTCGTGTTATATAGACAGCGACAGTGTTTTTTGTTTCCTGACCTGCTGGTAGTGACTATGTTTTGAAAGTCAGAATATCTAGCGGGAGGATTTGTACGATTCACAAATACAACTACTAGTGCATTGCATTTTTAATTATCGGTGCTTAAATACGTTAATGACACTTCATTTGTGTTATTTCGTTGTTGGTTTTCTGTGTGGTAAACTTGCCAGGAGAACGCAAGTTGGTATCTACTGTACCTTCCAGTGCACACAGACTGCTTTCTGTCGTTCATTGATCTAAAAGCCTTTAAATTGTTTACAGAATTTGATACATAGGCTTAGAACTTTACAGCTTACGTGATAACATCTATAAAACTCTTACAAATCAGGTGCTAGCTGTACTTTTCACCTGCTTTACAAGTCAGTAACACTTTATTTTGCCCACAAAATGTGTTACTTTTAGCTTATGATCCTGACAATAACCAACTATTATTTCCCTAAACAACGCTGACCAATGCAAGGGTAAAGGACATAAGTCCATATTATCAACGAAATGGAAACATTTTGGGCTGTTCTCATAGGTCAGGTTTGCTTATTTAAGAAAAAAATACATAAATATGATTGTACAATTTACGGTGAATGGCAGGCTGAAATGATAACTTTGACAAAATTGCAGGTTATATGAAATACATGCTATAAAGTAGCAATCATATTTTTGATGTAATTTTTTGATCTATGTAATGGAGACGTTCTGTTATCATTGAAGCAAGAAATAGACTTTTCTGTTAATCTGATAAGCTTCGGCTTCAAAGGGTCAATTGTGTTGTGGTTTTAATCAATAACTGATATATTATAAAACATTGAAAACATTTT